GTCGCCCATTGTAGCCACTAACTTACCATATATCATATTGGGGAAGATATTCAAGTTTATTTTACATGATGTGAGGTGTCTGGCTTCTTTTTGTGCTCGCTTTTCACTTAGCATTTCTCCAATTTTTTCACTGCCCAGCCACTCTGCTGTAATTTCCGGCTCTTTTCTTTTTTGTGTAGTTAGGATCACTATAGAAGCTTATAACAAACTCACAGGGCATTGCACTCGTGTCCTCATTCTTAGCAAGAAAGTGATCCTTACGTGGTAGGAGGAGCCGTTAAGCGTTGCTATTTGCCATTGTTGTCTTTGCTTCCTACTCTTTTTGGCTTTCTACATGCTCACGGGTGCTCTCTCTCTCTCTCTCTCTCTCTCTCTCTCTCTCTCTCTCATCCTAATAAAAAGGTTAACTTGTTCCTATTTTATTCTGTATCGCAGACTGGCTTCTCCTTTTCCGAGTTGCTATGAACGAAAGGATTGTTTCACCAGGCTTTCATCCAATTTAGTAACATTGTGTAGGACCTGACACAGTCTTCTTGAATTGTTGCAGATGTTCCGCCAACAAGTCAGGGGGTAGACCACAAGCAGGTCCAGAGAGAACTGGGAAATGTTGTCCTGCACCTCCACAACCCTACCATCCTCTCTTCCTCTTCAATCGAAGTGCACTGGACAGTGAGTTGTTGTTACAATATTTGAGCTCACTTTTAATAAAAGTGACTTCTGTGAAGTCATTATATATAAATAATCATACACATATATATAATTTATCTGTTTCCTCCTTCTACAGTAATGACAACTTTATAATGTGAGTACTGTTCGTTATGGTAGCAGTGGTCTGGCTTTAAACAGACAAAAGTTCCATCGTGTGCGTATTTTTTCCTATCGTACGCAATAGTGAATTTTGCTATTCTCAGAGTGAAGAAACACCAAGTATTAACTGTTTGTATGTAACTTTTGATAGGACCATTATCACATGGATTTTTTAAACTTAGACATAGTCCCAAGTAGTATGAAGTAGGCTTTTAAAATTAGAAAATAGTAAAACACATTGTGCTTCCTCATCCCCTTGACCGTGGCTTGCCTCTAGACGTGTCTCGGAACTGCCATGATGCCTCACATTTCTGCATGAAGCATAGAAATTAATGTCACACGATTGATATCACCTTACAAAAGATAGTGGATTATTTTTTAGTATTCTATTTATATGAATGAGAAAAACGTGGGGCGAAGCCAGATAGACTTTTTTGCATTTTATCATATTGAATTTTCATTATTTTCCAATGAACCAATAAAAAGATATAAATGATCGCATCTTTGTCATTTTAATAGGTGGACCAACAATCTCAGTATATTCAAGGATATAAGATTCTCTATCGGCCGTCTGGAGCCAACCATGGTGAATCGGAGTGGTTAGTTTTTGAAGTGAGGACCCCAACCAAAAACAGTGTGGTTATCCCTGATCTCAAAAAGGGAGTCAACTATGAAATTAAGGCTCGCCCTTTTTTTAATGAATTTCAAGGAGCAGATAGTGAAATCAAGTTTGCCAAAACCCTAGAAGAAGGCAAGTATGATGAAGTGTGTGATTTCTGTGCATTGCAGCATATTTGTTAGACTTTTATTAACTTAACTGAAATTGCTAAAATGTTAATAGTGGCATTATTAGCTGTCTTGATATTGAACATATATTTTGCCAAGAGAATTTGTTTAATTAGAGCTCAAAAAAATGAAATACAGAGACAGTTGACTTGCTTCAACAGTGGCCTGTATAACATTGTGTGAATGTGAACATTACATTGCTTAGTGGCACATACAGAGAATATTTAATTATCTGGAACTAAAAATTCACATTTGAAGATGGAATTGTTTTCAATTTGCTTCCAATCCGTTATTTCCCATTCATTTATGGAATGCTATTTTGATCCATGATTTGTAAATAACGTGAATAATGTTTTGGTTTGATCAGGACTTTTTGGGGTTAGCATTTTCTCCTTACACCTCATGTCTCTGGAAACCCCTTAATTCTAGGAAAACCAGTATGGCAGGCCACTCTACAACTGGAAATTAAACATTAATATATATGTTAAGGTAAAAGGTTACATGTCACAACTATACTCTTAAAAACCAGAATTTTTCCTAATGTGTCTTTGTCACTTTGACTATATAAATTATTATCATGAATGATTAGCATTCATCTTCACAGTTTTGAGCAATTTCAGAGAGAACATGAGACCAGGGTTACAAGGTCAGAGAAATGGAAATTGTCCTGGGATATTACGTGGAAATAATGTATATAACTTTGTTTATGCAAAATTCATAATAACAGTAGGTTAGCAATATTGAGGAAAAACTTAAGTAGTTTGGGACTATTTAGACCTGGATAAGCTACTTCTTTAAAACACATGCATATATTGATATAATTTTCATATAATTATTCTTGGGTTTTAAATATTAATTAAATTGCTTCAATGTTCATTTACACACTCTAATCTTTTTAAAACAATTTAATAGCACCCAGTGCTCCACCTCAAAGTGTAACTGTATCAAAGAATGATGGAAATGGAACTGCAATTCTTGTTAGCTGGCAGCCACCTCCAGAAGACACTCAAAATGGAATGGTCCAAGAATATAAGGTAATGCATGTATATTCATTTACAGGTTATGGATATTTGGCGCCATCTGCTGGTCCAAATAGCAACATGTAAAATTATTTCTAAAACACTTTCCTGTTTATTCAGTGATAGTGTGGAGTAATTTTTTGTGCTAGAAAATTACTCGAAAATTAGTTGAAAATAATTAATTTAAAAAATAGATAATCTATGTGGTCACGAAGTATATAGCTCCTTCTAATTCGCACAAACAGCAAATTTAAATTAATAATAAAAAATCTTTTCCCCCTAAAAATGGCTTAAATATATTTTGCAAGGTTGGATTGCCCTGTGGGGTTGGCCATGAATCACATTGTGTCAGAAAGGGTTTACTTTATTTTTCTACATCTTTGAAATTATAGAATTTTAGAGCTGGGTTGGAAAAATTATTTCAGTGTGTATGAAAATCATTTTTTTCTATAAACTTTTAGTCTCTATACAGAATTTCATGTCTCAGAGGAAATTCAATTATACATGTCTGTATGTTCGTGTGAATTTTTAAAATATGTAATGTGTTGTCAATGATTTAATCTAATGATTCTGAATAATTACTTTTACCTGTGAACTTATCAGCTATATTCAATGAATGTAGACAGTCTCACCTAGATTGATTTTAAGCAAATATTTTCAGGAATGCCATGGTGCATCAGAAACTAATTAAGAGAAATGAGACTTTGTCAAAAGAATGTATTTGACTTTATCTTATTGATGAATGTGTATTATAGGATAGTCTTAATGAGCTATGGTAAATGAATAATTGATAAGTTGAATTAGGAAAACCTCAGTAGAAAACGGATTTAATGTGTATTTTCTCTCTCTCTCTCTCTCTCTCTCTCTCTCTCTCTCTCTCTCTCTCTTTTTCGGAGGTGGCGAGGGGGTTTTCATTTTATTTTATTTTAGAGACAGGGTCTCACTCTGTCACCCAGGCTGGAGGGCAGTGGTACAGTCACAGCTCATTGCAGCCTCAAGCTTTTGGACTCAAGCAATACTTCCACCTTAGCCTGCTGAGTAGCTAGGACTATAGGCAAGTGCCACCACACCCAGCTAAATTTTTCATTTTTTGTAGGGATACGGGTCTCGCTGTGTTGCCCAGGCTAGTCTTGAACTCCTGGCCTCAAGCAAGCGATCCTCCTGCCTTGTATTCCCAAAGTACTGGGATTACAGACATGAGCCACTGCACCTAGCCTCATTTGTATTTTTTTCAATGGTTGTATAAGCATACCACATACTAGAGAAATTTTAACTGCAATGCATGTACTTCTCTACACATTGATTTATATTTTTGTTAATGCCTGTGTATTTTTCTGGTTACTAGATAAATTATGATACTTAGTAGATTATCTCTTAGGTGCAAGTACTTTAAACTGCGCTCATTGATATGAAACTGCTGTTAGGAAGGTGGGCACCTTCTCCAGTTAGATCAGTTATTTTTAATTACATGCTGACATCAGAATCACTTGTGGAATTATTTTCCAAATACAGATGCCTGGCCACCACCCTCAGAGATTCTAATCAAGTTGGTCTGACAGGAGTCTTTGCATGTATGTTTCGGTAAATCTGTCTGGGTGATTCTGATGTACATCCTTAGTGAAGGCCCAAATAAAGACTAAAAATGTTCTTTTGTGTAGCAAATTAATTTGTACAATAAGCAGGTATCCTGAGCTTAATTTTAAATATAATATTTTATTTTAAAATAATTTTTAAAAACAATTTGAAAACCTCTTTATGAAATTTGTGTACATTAACAGTACATTTTTAAAAAAGTATTTAAAATACTGTCATAAATGTACTGTGGATGCTTTAAGCCTATAAGGTATTCCAAATAAGATTTTCAATGATAATTGAGTCATTAAAAGGTAACAGTCTCTATACTTTTAAGTGCTTTCTTACGAGTTTCAAGGTTATTTCAATACTGGGAGTGACAGGATACCATGTTTCAGTGCAGAAAAATAGACTATTACAGAAGATTTTTAAGGATTTAAAGTGAGGTGATGTCTCAGCAGCTCTCAAGCAGAATTGTGTAATGTAGGCATTTTCCCCTCAGAGTCAAAACTCATTTCTCTCCTGAAGAAATGCAAAATGGTGGATTTCACTTAACTTCATGGTCAATTTAAAATAATAAAATGCCTTTCAGAACCTGATTGACTGGTACAGAATCAGTTTGTGGCTTCGGTTCAGCTGCATAATGTAATTGGGGGAAAAAATTTCACAACGGAGTCTTTATTTTGAAATGATCAGATTCTGGTGTAGTGTCTGACCATTTCTTGGTGTTGTGTATTGAAATTATATTAAAATAATATTAACGTTCAAAGAAAACAATTAGAGGTCATTGCCCAAATGATAGAGGACCCTGATATTCTTAGATTTATTTTGAATCCCTTTTCCTATTACAGATTAGACAATAGCCTACTTGAAACTAATCCTACTTAATGCTTGAGGACATCACAAAGAATATAGAGAATGTTTTACTACTCTACGGATCATTTTCTTATGGAAACTGTCATGCAGCCTATCCAAATTCTTGAATATTGCAGGAATCACTCTATGGTGAATCAGTGAAATTTAAAATAAGGGTTAGAGTGTAGTGTAGAAATCTTAATTTCTTAAAAATAGTTCCTTATCACAAATATCATTATCAAATATTATCAAATTTGATGAGGCATATGGTGACTTTCTTATTAGAAGACTGTGCTTCTTTCACATAAAATATGTATTGTTATTTTTTATGATCTCATATAATGAAAAATGAATTAATATTTCCATTTAAATATAAGATCAGAGTGCTGATTTTCTCTCATTGATAATAGTTCAACATACCATAGGCTAAATAAAATCCTAGGATGATCCTTACTCCTTGTGTGCAGTTTTATTTTTAATAAGCATATTTATGCAAATTACTTTTGATTATTCAGAAGCTCTCCCTCCTCCTTGTAAAGGTACTTCTTGTAAAATGTGAGGTGACAAGGCAGTGCCAGGTGGTTTTATCCCAGAGAACCGCTGAAGTACGGTACTAGACTCAAGAGTTTCCTACTCCTTCTGTTTTATGATCTCTGGTCATCTTGCGTCACACCTAGAATGCAAACGTTGAATGATGATAGAAAAGTTATTGTTCTTTATCTGGAAATACAAGGTCCTTTTTTTCTAGAAAATAAGTTCTTGGTGTTAAGAAAAAAAGAACAAAAACCTAATGATATAGGCTGGTATAGAACCTAATGATGTGGGCTGGTAGGAACCAGTATCTTCAAGCAAAACCTTGAAGACTTACCTGATAGAAATAATCCTTTAAAAGCATGTGAAAAAGTGTAAAGAAGTCTTGACGCTACTGCTAACACTAGGTGTGACTAGAAGAGTCATCTTAGAACAACATCTTAGGAAAAATGACTCTAGAAACTTCTAGTAGGTTCATGATCAGTCTGAACTCTGGCTCTAAAAGCACAATCCTCTGTGGACCTTCGCATTAACTTAGATAATTTACCAGCCTGACATTCCTTGCGTGCTTCTTACAGGTTTGGTGTCTGGGCAATGAAACTCGATACCATATAAATAAGACGGTAGACGGTTCCACCTTTTCTGTGGTCATTCCCTCTCTTGTTCCTGGGATCCGATACAGTGTGGAAGTGGCAGCCAGCACCGGTGCCGGGCCCGGAGTGAAGAGCGACCCTCAGTTCATCCAGTTAGGTGAGTGTCGGTGCCGATCCACCCTGACGGCCTGTCATTGTACCCTTTCTCCTGCTTTGCTTTTTTGGTATGTGGCTGAGCCACCGCTGCAAAGTTTAATAAAATATGGAATGTGGCTTAGAGCTACAACAGGTATTAGCTTTATTTAAAACATAGATAGATAGATTAGATATAGATAATTAAACTTCAACTTATCCAAGAACATATTTTAGATGATATTTCAAGCAAAAGGCTATCAGTATTCATTCAGTGTTTCCTAATCCTGTCCTATAGAATATTTTTTGTCTATTCAACAAGTACTATTAAGTTCCAAGATTATTACAGTGAAGAAAATAGACACAGTCTTCATTCTCATGGAACACACAGTTGTTTGGGTTTAAAAAACAAACAAACTTGCATGCAAAACTTAAACTAGGTATTGGAAGTTTATAACAATATGCAATTTATATTCACATTTAGTATCTATTTAAAATGGCAATTGCTTTTTATAACAAAAGATAGATTGAGATGTCCAAGAGCATTGAAATATGTTTACATGCTAATTACTTAGAAAGTTGAATACAATTTGTGTTTCTAAAGTAGTTAGATGAACTTAAAAAAAAAAAATAGACCTGGCATAGAAGCCTTCATTAGCACAATTCACTTTAGGCAATATGGCATGAACATAAAATATAAATTAGTAAGTTACAACAAGTAAAATCTAAAACAAACAACAAAAACAGCAACAAAATACTATTGCAACTTAAAAGTAGAGAGAAAAGGGTCAGATATTAAGAAGTGATGTTTAAATTATGAATGGTGCTGAGACGTATGTAGTCAACTTTATATCTGTGCATTCCAGATCAGAAGTTAAATTTTAGTAATAGTTTATATTAGTTGCTAAATTATGAAAAAGAACTAGATGTATGTATCTTTATACTTCACAAGTAGTTACATACTATTTTTGCATTTTAATAATATTGATGACATCCTAGAAATTATTTCAAAACAAAATTAAGAAACATTTGGCTTTGATAAACTTTGTTGTGATACACAAAGAACTTCACATTTATTTGGAAAAGTATTATTGCCGTTCCATTGTTAATACAATGCCAGCTACTTTAACAGATATACTTGCAGAATATCTGTCATATAACACAATAAATTCTAGCAAAAGTCCAACTGTGGGTGGGACTCCTTCCATATAGACATTGAGGATCATAGGCCGACGACTCTTCGCCTCTTTAACAGGAGGCTTCCAACGTTGACCCTGGACCTGCAGAAAAGAGGAAAAGAAAGACACAGTCTTTGGGAGGGTTTAAATGGTGCAGGTCTGGAAATGGTGCATGTTACTCCTGCCCAAGGTGACTGCAAATAGATGAATGGGGTCACCACGAAACTAAGACACTGACTACAAAGCTACTTCCCCAACAACACTACTCTATGAGATCCCATTGAAACCTTTAAGGGAGAGCTTGCTGTCTCTTCAAAGCCATGTGTCAAAATTTGATTTTCGGATTTATCTTTTATGCTTAGCACATTGTAAAACAATGATTATATGCACGACTTTTAAACAAAAATAACTTCATGGTTTATTTTAAACAATACAGGAAGCTATAAAAAGTTGATTAATGCATCTGTTACAATGTTATGCATGATATAAAGGAAGATATAAAATTTATATTGAGGAAGTAGTTGATATTCAAATATTTGCCCACGTCATTAAAATTGAAATTATAAGTTACATTATGATGACCCTATAAACTGTTGATGTTGTTTCCCTATTTTTTTTTTTATAACATATGACTTTTAGTTCTGATTTTTGGAAGATAAATTGGAAAAAGGATCATGTGTGATGTTATTTGTTTAAGATTTAAATCATGGGATTTAAGGGTCAAACTGGTGTTCTTGAGATTATAAATGTGTTCAGTTCTCCCTATCCTAATACAGCCTCAGCTGCAATGAGACAAAGACTGAGATGAAGAGTAGCTGTTTTAATTCATTAGTCACACTGCACTTGATTCTGTTAAGCCCATCTGGTTGCTTGCATGGAACCCCTCTTGGCTGTTTCCATAAACTCTTAAGCTACCCGATGTAACCTTGCACAGATAGCCATGAAATCTATAAACCTAACAGATACAAAGGGTGTATTCGGAATAAAAAGAATAGGTCTGCTTGGTGAACTTTCAGTGGATGAAGTGCTCTTAGGATAACCAAAGATAAAAGGGTCTGGAACATGAAATACAACTTTCAGTCAACAAACAGTTGAAGGCAGGTGACTGCTTGTGAAAATAGGTTTTTCAGCCTTGACCCTCTATAGAATGAAATCTGAAATTCTGTTTAAAAAAAGGCAAATTGAAAAACCAGACACACATACACACATACACACACACGCAACATGAGAAGGAATTTAGCCATTTTGTGTTGCAAAGGGTGCTGTTTTCACAAAGGCTGTTTCCTTAGCCATTGAATGCTGCTAAAGTTTCCTGCCAGTTGTCTTATCAAGATGCAATATCATTTAGTAAGAAAAAATATTTCGTGGATATTTTTTTCTGTTTAAGCAATGTTTTTCATATATGATGAGCTATACCAATTATTTTTCTGGAAAAAAATGTATTTGTGAAGTAGAAAATGTGTCTATCTTAAAACAGATTATATTAGCAGGATTGTTATATTTCTCTCTAATTTGGTCTTGAGGTCTCTCTTTGCAAAGAGGCTATAAACTCTAGTCCTGGCCTGACAGGGCTTCACGGGATTTGGTTGTAGATGGTAACATTGTGCCTTTCACAGGACCTTTCTTTATCATTGCAGACAGCGTAATGCCTAAGTGTCCAACCCATGACCAGATGTCCCTGTCACAGGAAACTCGTTTATACGGGCAGATGCCCTTATGGCTCTTATCCGCCCTGTGTCCAGTGTATTCCTGCCAATATGGCCCCTCTCTAGGAGAGCCTTAACTGGGAGGAAAGTTAGGACCAGGTGCATCAGTCAGATGAGACACAGAGGATGCAAGACAACAAAAACACATGAAATAACAGAACAGCGTATCACTCACAGATCCATTAGGGAAGAGGGAGTGTTGTGCCATCAAGGGCCAATGAGAAGGCCACGGGGGCGATGTGCTCAACCAGCAGGTGGGGAGCCAGAGAGAGAGGACCTTTGGGCTGAGGTCTTTTTGGTGTTCATGGCAATTCCCAAGCAAGTTTGCTTTGGGGAGTTCCAATTGGTGGGTTCTTAGAGCAAATGGCTCGAGTTTCATGGGGTCATGCCGTAACTGAGAATGGTCACTGGGACAAATCCGCCCAGTCCATGTGGGGTGCAGGGTCAGTGGGTAAGCCAAGTAGGCGGTATCTATATAGCTCATAGGGAGGCGGTCACCGGGATGCAGTTGTGTACGACAGATATCTGGATTGACCACATTGAGGAACCAGGAAGGAGACAAAGAACTGGAAGCTGTCAAGGTGAGGAGACCCAGCCTCTGGTATGAGAAAGTTAAAACTTAAATTCAAAATGGATGCTGAGACAGCATGAAATTATGAGAATTCACAACAAGCATAATTTTCACAGTCAAATGATTTAATAATGTTAAGAAATCGCCAATCCTAATGAAATGGGCAAACATCTTGTTTCAGCAGATGTTGTGGGAGAAGAACGTTAAAACTGCAGAAAGTAATGGGAATTCTGCACATTGGACATTCTCGGGGTTAGCATCACTCGGGGCCACCAAAATGGAATATTGCTTTGATGAGAGAGCAGCAGCCTCCAGTTTTCTACAAAAGACTTTGCTGACTGCTCTGTGTGACTTGATGTAACGGTGGGCTTTAAAAAAACTTAGTAGGCTTAAAGTGTAAATGTAAAATAAGTAAATTTTATTAGCCATATATCCCATTAATTTTTAATTCTTGAATCAAAATGGCTAACAGAAAATATAAGCCTTTTTGACTATTCATAACACTTGATAATTCTTATGCATATTTAATGTTCTTTTCTTATATCTTTTGCTGGCTATGGTTATTATTTTAAAAGAAAGATCATTCATAGTCCTTTCAGTGGTAATATTATCTTAATTTCTCATTGTGTTTTAATGATCCAGAGTTTTACAGGCTGTTCTTAATGTGTTTCTAAGACAATTGAGGGTCTTACAATATAGTCTTGGTAGGGGGTACATATACACACACACAGACAGCTGTTTTTTCAATATTTCCTTTATAGAGGATATAAAATTGTATTTCTTCCCTTTTTTAGCATGTACATCTAAAGCTTCCTATAGAAGTCTGAGGAAGTTTATATCTTTTCTATACCCCTTATTATAGCTTATTCAATACCCCTATTTATTTGTGCATGTGTCATTTGTATATGCATTCAAGTATTTCATTTTTTAGTGTCATATTTTTGTATTTATATCAGTTGTATAAGTATGATAAGTATGATCCCATAAAATTATGCCATACTTGTTTTGAATGGACATAAACAAAATAAATATAATTTTGCTGAACATCTCATGAAATGTTTTATTTAGTGATGGCTGGTGGTGCAGAATGAAAAACAGAAATCATTATTTCCACTTTTCCATTATTTCCATTAATACAGTAATGACAGCCGTTTTATGTCACAAAAGTATGCTTGCATTATTATAATAAGTTTTAAATCCAAATTAATCAGAAGATGGCTTTTCAGATTCTCATGGAAATCCAGTGTCACCTGAAGACCAAGTGAGCCTTGCTCAGCAGATTTCTGATGTGGTGAAGCAGCCCGCGTTCATAGCAGGGATCGGGGCAGCCTGTTGGATCATCCTCATGGTCTTCAGCATCTGGCTGTATCGACACCGGAAGAAGAGGAATGGACTTACTAGTACTTATGCGGGTATCAGAAAAGGTATTCACTTTCCTAAGTTCTTCATATTTTAATGTTTATAAAACTCTTGATTTTAATGTTTTACTCCAAGTTATTCATGATTATATATATCCTATCTTAAATTATTTTTGTATGTAAAGATCTTCAAAAACACTTTTATTTTATTGTGGTGTCTACATATTAACTTCTCTTGTGTGGCAGTACTACATTTAGGGCTTACTAGTTTCTTAAGGCCGTGTTCCCTTAAAATATATTTTACCAAGATAGGTCTAGACTTGGCCCTGTTCTGTTAGGGAATTAATTTATTGCTTTTTATTCTTGAGGGAAATTTTGGATTTCCTTGTCATAGAAATCATAAATACATGCCTTGAACTGTCTCACACAGTTTTAGGGGGGAGCATTGTTGCCCTTTGTGAAACAAAAAAGAGAATACTACCATTTGATTACTTATAAAATAGTCCTTTCTTGGTGAATATAGAATGCGTGATTGAGTGATGTACTTTTGCTTACAGAGAGGTTTAGTACCTTTTTATTGTGATATTTAAAGTTGCAGGATTGAATATGTATATGTTGTTAATTAGTGATGGTGATTTTTTTTTACAAGTATGTTTACCATTTTAGAAGAGAAAGTTTACTTGGCTGCTATTATTTACAATTTTAAGGATGAATTAAATATACCAAGCTTTTTCACAGACACCTTTGCTACCTATCATCAAAGATGATGATTTGTATTTTTTATTCTCTGAGGAGATTGTTAGCAGTGCCAGATAAATAATCCCTCCTGGCCCCCAAATATATTCATCAACTCTGGGCCTCAGATCTGAGCTATAGGTTGGGTGGCTGTAAGTCCCAGTTTCCGGGGACAGTCCAGTTTATGTCTTTATCCAATAACATTATTTCTGGTCCTCCTTTTTGTTCTCAAAACTGTCCTGGTTTAGATGACAAATTATACAAATTATAGGGTCTATACTTCAGTCTAATACAATAGTTTTGCTTTGCTGAGAAGCAAATTTAAAGAGGATTACCAATAAAATCATCTTTTCTCCCAACATCACCACCTTTTTTTTTTTTCATCTAATTGTCGATACAAATGAGCATTTCCTGTACATCTTGACCAGACAAATTCTTTTACCCATTATATGGAAAATTTAGAATTTTTAATGCTAGCTAGAAGGTGAATGTCCTTATGCATTTATAAAATAATCTGGGATGACAGAAATGCTGGAACTCTCAGTCACAAGGAGTCTTGGCAAAAAAGGGTCAACACAAATTCATCACTAATACTATACAAATAAATTTCTGTGTCTACTGCCTGTGGCTGAGCAGCAATCTTTTCATGTACATATATTTTCCTTAGCATTATTATCCTTAAATATGTTTTTTTCAGATATGTGTCCTATCTAGAGATGAAGCAATATGACAATATCCCTGCCTGTGAAATGGAAAATGAGGGCTTGGAGGTTACTGCAAAGAGAACTGGTGCTCATTATGTATACAAAGTAGAACAATGTCAGGCACATGTGTTACCATATAAAACCTCTGACTAAAAAATCAATGCAGAGACGGGGTTTCTGGTTGTCTGTGTGTGGTGAAGTGGGGAAGGAATAGGGAGGTTGACTTTGTTTTGAAATCTGATTTGAATGAGGAAAAGTGACTAATTAACATATAGATGTGGAGTCTCTTGAATTTTCCAATCAAAAGACCTCCATCATCAACTCCATTTTGTAAACGCTAGTCAGTGGAATCCTGTTTCTTATGATGACAAAGTGCCACACCTGTGTGATTATAGCAATTTCATGCTCGACATTGTCTTAAAATATAAAAATGTGACATGAAACTATTCTTCCTTTCTGAGATGTTCCTTTTCCTTTACTAATGTACTTTGAGCATGCTGACAAAATGCCTATGTGCTCTTTCTGCAAAACCTATTAAACTAATATCATTGTCCCTTCAACTAGCTTGTGTTTAAGCAGAAATCATAGAACATAATTACAAATGTAATTTGATGAGCATTTGACTCTGCTTTCCTCACTTTGTCCTGTTGGCACTTTTTCATAATTGTATTTCTATGTAATTTATTTTAAAAAGTGCATTTTGGGATCTTAAATTTTCTATGCCAAAAAACAATGCCGGTAATTTTAAGAAAAAAGGAAGTGAAAAATTATAAAGAAAAAAAACAAATGTAAAAGAGCTTATTGACTTATAACACATCAAGCCAGAGGGTCACTTTGGAAAATAGTGATCATTTTTAACATTTCCCCCTTACATTCAGCTATCAGTGTGACATCTGCTAGTTCACTCAGCACCCCTGTCCACATAGATTCACATATTGCATCAGCATCACTTGGGTACACAGAGAGTTTATTATATTATTGGAAGCTTTGAGAATTAAGTTGTTCTTTGGTGTGCTAGCAGTGAAAATTTCATTTAGACTGACCTCTTTTCATCTCTTCTTCAATTCCTCAAAGTGGGGTTAGCAGTTAGCTAGGAGAAGTAATGACAAGGACCTTTCATATTTTCCTGGTGTCCTTGTGATTGCAAATTAATGTTCAGGCACTCCATTCTCTCCTGAATAGCTTTAGTTTCAAATGCACCTTTCTTTTTTTTCTGTTTTTTTTTTAATAAAGACTTGTTACTATGGCTCTGAATTTTTGAATGTAGCTAAATTACATGGACTCTCTGAAAAGACCTGTCTGAAAGAAAACACAATAGAATTCTTAAGACAGGGACCGCTGTGCTGCAAACGAAGGCCAGGGTATAAATTAGGGACACAGACTGAGGTTTTTGCCTTTGTTCTTTCTAGTATGCTCAGAGATAGAGTGGCTTGGTAAGAGAGGACAGTTGTAGGGGATGCTATAGCGTTCTAGTTTGCAACCCCAAAGGCTCTGATAGTAAATTTCTTGAACAGTGTTCAGATGTGATATAGAAAATACACTTTGGCAGTTTTTTGATCCATGATAAGCAATCAATATTCTAGCTTGTTTGTATTAAAGATTTTTTTTTTTAAAGCAAACTTTAATCTTAGAGGGAGTAATGTAGATTTCCTTGCTTTCTTTACCAGGGCAGCGTTTAGTTTAAATTAACGTGAAGAGATTGGAAAATGAGTCAATCTCCTCCCTCTATGAAATGACATGGAAATTGCTCTGGTGTTATCCAACACCTAGGAATGGGAAAGGATAGGAAAAGCTGCTACTTTTGAGGCCTGCAGTTCAATTTCAGGCATTATTGATTAGATTAAGATTTATAACCACAGAGAGAGTGAAGGTGTTCAGAGAAGTGTTATTGTTCTATTGTTTAGCTTCTACTTTGGCATTAAAAAAATGTTCAGTTCAGCCCACTCCTAGACAGCTTCTAAATGTAAACTCTAAAAGAGAAATTAAAGCTTAAAACTCCACACTTTTTCTGTACATCCACAAATTTTTATGATGTTAAGAGTGTAGTTTATATGATATCAGGCATATCTGCTCAGTGAAGCAGTTTAATTCTATGGTTCTCTTTGTTTCAGTGTGTTCTTTCCTTTCCTCTCCTTTTCTCCTGTGTCTCTTTTTTTTCCTTCTTTTTTCCTTCCCTTGATCCTTTCTTTCTCTCTCTCTCAATGATGAATACTTAAGTGCACCTAGTAGTCCACTTTAATAAGCATTTACTTTCAGATTTCTAGATAGGATTCCAGCAAGACCCTGATAACGCTTGTTTAAGAATCCATCATCCACTGTTTGGAAATGATTAATAGTGGAGGATTCCTGTTTGTGCTAAAGCCGTGAGCTAAGTCTGTGTTGCTAAATGCAGGGTCATTCACAGGCTAACCTAGCGCAATTCCCCTCCTGAGTGTACTAGAATGTCAGACACTTCAGAATGGAACCTGTAGAGACAAGCTTTTTTTCTTACCCTCAGATTTGGTTTTATTCATGTATCAGAGTGTCAGAACTACTGGCTTAGTTATTTACATTTGTTTTATGTTCAGCTGTCTGCTTGATTTATACTAATGTGATATGTTCCCTTTCTCTCTTCAGCTTAATAACTGGTTTATATTTTGTTTTGATTTTTCAGTCCCGTCTTTTACCTTCACACCAACAGGTATATATTTGCACTTACCCTCCTCCTTTCCTTTGTTAGTTTGGCATGGGTTGTACTATTTCTGTTTTTATTTCATTTTCTTCAGTGAGTTGGGGAAAGGACTTAAAACAGAATATAATACTTCATTTACTTACGCCAGGCATGTATGTGAAGTAGAAATGGTTGGTGTTATTTATTCACAACTCCACATTGCATCTTAGCCATGTTTGCATGTGTTTCATTAAATAGACACACTGTTTCTACCCTCGACATGATTTAACATGCTAATGATCTCATTAATTGTTTCATACTTGGCAGTGCATTTTTTCCCTTAACTTAAGCTTTCAAGTTTTCCAACAAAAATTTCTCTCCATTCTAATTCTCTGTTTATAGAATCAGTGTTGTTGAAGGTAACCAAAATATCTAGCACATGGGAAAGATAAAACTTTTCATTTTCCCTAAATCAGAATCCTAATATTCTGTTCTATTCAGTTTCTTTCAAAGTGGGTCCTCTTCTGTCACCTCACCTCTAGTAAAAGATGTACCTGTAGTTATGCCTCCTCAGTCTTAATCCAGTTATTGTAATCACTGGGAACAGTTATCTCTGTCTAACAGACTCCCAGTTTGGAATTCTTCTAAGTAGCAGAATTTGGCAGCTTTAAAAAACATATTTCTTCTGAGAAAATGTGTCTGTATTTACAGAAAGGCTAATCTTCTTAACCTCTTGCCTAACTATGTGCAAATCTGTTTTTGTTATGGCTAAATTTTTATACCCCAAATTTATTAATCTGAGAAGGCTTTCAAGAGCATTAAAATATATTTTTTATCACATGTACATGTCTGATGAAAATATAATGAGAAAGGGTTTCCAGAAGCCACAATAAAAAATAGGTTGCATTAATTAATAGTCACAAGTTGGCATATATCTTTGTGTGTGGAAAGAAGGATTATTTTAACATTTATCTTTGCCTTACTGGTACTCATATTTCTGGAAGAATATTCTGGTATGGGATTTTTTCCCTGAATTTAAGATTACATTTGTATAAAATCATAAAATTATATGCTACGATAAATTTAAAATAGTAATATATGGGAATGCTAATGTACAAATGAGTAATAGTTACATTTAATAAAAGTGTACTGATGTTGTCTCTTTGCTTGATTCTCTACCTTGTTGAAATATTAAGAAAATAAGAGTGATACATATTTAATGCTATATAATAATTTTAAAAATTACTAGTTGTATCAGAAATCTGGTACATCTAGTGATGATTTCTGCAATGCTTTTAAGTAGGAAGGGAGAAATAATTCCATTTTAGAAAGATGGACATAATAGCTTTTGATATATAAATGTGCCTGCTAATTTTGTTTTTTTTTTTTGTAACATTCTAGTAACTTATCAGAGAGGAGGCGAAGCCGTGAGCAGTGGAGGGAGGTAATTATCTTGCTTGTTTTGTAGATTCTAAAGGGAATTCCAAATATTTCTTCTTGTCTTCCTCGGTGACACCACTTTCTTTGCTTAAAAGGTTTAACTTAAAGGAGAAATGTGTTTAAATCCTTTAGAAAGCTTCCATTCAGCTGTGCTGTTGAACCAAGCTATTTTAGCAGAAATGCAGCTGATTGGAGCGGGTGCATCTTCGTCAGTGACCACCAGAGGGAGGACTTTAACCGAGAAAGACAGACTTGCTGACTTAGCAGATGATTAAAAGGAGTTAAAGTGATTAAGCTGTGGCATTTATGAAGATTAAGAAATATAGCTAGTTAACAGATACTATCAAAGAAAAAAGTGTTCATTTGAAAACCTGCTGAACACAGCAGTTGCTCATAAGTTGCTGTAGGTTATGTTTGTTTGTTCTTGTTATGAATTCAACTTCACATCTCCATTTGCAGGGAAATATGTTGAACTAAAAGAAGAAATCTTAGTAGCTTGTTAACAAAGAGGTTTTTCTTCCCCTCTAATTAAAATAAGCCTCAATCCGATAGTTATGATATTTTGGTAATTATTATTCAGTGAACTTTAATATATTCACAGAGAAATCACAAATTGATGTGACAGGCAGCTTAAAGGGGCTGAAATAAGGTATAAGTTACGTGAACCAAGCATCAGGATTTTCCACAATATGATGACTAAAAAAAAAAAGTAACATTTAGCTTAAGGTTTAAAAGGAAAAAAACAAAAAACTTCCAACCAAAACCATTTTATAATTCAAATTCAATGAACTTATTAAATTCCCTTCTTTCTGCAGTTAGATAATATGGTTGTTTCTGGAAAGATAAAAATGAGTAAGATATTATTCCTCAATCTAAAGAACATACCATCTAATAATTTAGTTTCTAACAAAGAGCAATTAAAAAAATGTTGACCACCTTTAGCCAATGTTGTACAAATTTGGCAACAAGCACTGGCCTTTTCTTTCCTGTTTACTGCTAACTTCCTGTTTTCATACATGCAAAACAAAGCCAGCCACTGAAAGGCCTCAAAACTAGGGAGGTCTTCATAAGGAATAAAGCCACTTGATTCAGGAATTAAAGGAGGGCATGTTTTTGCATTCAGGGAAATTCCATCGAAATAACAGCCCAGGCAGACATTCATGAAAGAACGTTTTCTCTTGAGTGAATCTGGAATGCTTGATTATATATCCACCTCGTTACATGTGTATATTCATGACTGTAGACTCAACTTTCTCATTAATCAGAGCATATGAAAGTGCTTTCTGAGCATCTTCTATATGTTCTGCATTAGCTTCTGTGCATGGGCATGTGTGGGTCCTACTCAAAAGGAATTTGCCCCTACATAGACCAAATTATCACATGGGAAACAATGTCAGGAATGCATAGGTAGCAAATGACAGTTTCTACAGCAGGACTGAAAAATTACAAAGTTCCTGAACTATCTGTTTGGAAAACTCATTATAGCACAGTACAGACATAGCCTTTTGCACCAGTGAGCAAACTGCGTAAAAATTCCTGCCCTTGTGGACTTTACGTTATACTACGGAAGATATAAGATCAATAATAAACTTTTTTTAAAAAGTCAACTGTACAGTATCAGCCGTTGACAACTGCTATGGAAAAAAATAAACCAGGATAAGAAAATTAGGGATGCCTTAGTAATAGGCCTCATTCTAAGCCATGTGTGAATATGTGAGAATGTGTGTGTGTCTGTGGTTTGTGATCCAGTGGAGGAAGAGAAGGAATAGCGAACCAAACTGCTGTACTGACTTCTCTTGTATCAACTCCTTAAGCACTGGCTTCCCCCATGCATCTCAGACTCTCTGAGTCCTCGCTGGACCTCCCACCTCACTAGGCTGATAACACCTAAGCCAAAACCTTCTAGTCGTCCTCTTTCACCTCCTGCAACCATTACTGCATTTGTTGATCCTCTCTTGCCCCTTTCGCTCTGACAAACATTGTTTCATTTCAAGCACTTGCTCTGCCTTGCCTAATCTGCCACAAAAGCTCCCAGCAGCCCTTCCTTCATCTGCCTTCATTAGCACGATTTCCTGCTAATTCCCTTTGCCCACTAGACACAGAATGATCTTCTGAAATGCTTGTGGATCATGTCTCTGAGCTGCTGAAAATCCCATTTTTAATAAGACCCACCATGTGTAGAATATCAGATCCAAACTGAGCAGAGTATATGAAGCCCACAAACTCTAGGGCTTTGTGGACTCACTTCAAAACTCTATGTGTCAGGTAGGGTGTGGTGGCTTATGCTTGTAATCCCAGAGCTTTGGCAGGCTGAGGCAGGAGGATTGCTTGAGGCCAGGAGTTTGAGACCAGCCTAGGCAACATAACAAAATACCTGTCTCTATAAAAATAAAAAATTACACAGGCACGATGATGCTTATTTGTCCTAGCTACTTGGGAGGCTGAGGTGGGAGTATCGCTTGAGCCCAGTAGTTCGTTAAAGTGCGCTAAGATCAAGCCACTGTACTCCAGCCTGGGGGACAAAGCAAGACCCTGTCTTAACAAAACAAAACAAAACAAAAGGCTCTGTGTGCCATACCCTACAATCCATTCTGTCAACCCACCTGCCATTTGCCAATGTTGCATTTTCTTGTACGTTCTTGCTGCCTTGCACATGTATTGCGTCAGCCTGGAGTGTCTCCCCATCTACTACCCCTGGTCAATGCACTGAATTTCACCTGCTGTGTCCTCCATCAGCTTTGTACTGTGGAACGACCACAATAAGCACCTAACGTGGTACTGCAGTGAGCTGTTTATATCAGAGATCAGCAAATTATGGCTCTTGGGCCAAATCCAGCCTGCCACTTGTTTTTGTAAATAAAATTTTATAAGAATACAGCCATGAGCATCTGTTTATATATTATCTGTGACTGCTTTTGAGCTACAATGGCAGAGTTGAATAGTTACCACAGAAACTGTGACTTGCGAAGCCTTGAATAATTACTATCTGGTCCTTTACAGGAAAAGTTTGTCAGCCCCTGGTGTGCATGATTGCCTTTGACAATAGAATGTGAGATCCTGGAGTATAGAGACTACTTGGCTTATTTCTCAATAACTGAAAACTGTGTAATGTAATAAATGTAATTTATTGAATTACATTTAATAACGTTAATAAATTACATGAATTTTATCTTTGAAAGATTTAATAAATAAGTATCTAAGAAAGGACTGAATGAATTATTGAATAAATGAATGTCAGAAGACCTGAGTTCAGTCCCTGATGAAAATATATTGGGTTGGATTATTTCCTCTAATAAAAAAGAAGGTTATCTAGAATTCTTCTAGTTCTCAAAATTTTAAATTTAATTATTCCAAGAAAGGAGAGAAGGAGAATTGTGATAAGCAAAGAGACCTTTTCCCAACTTGAAAAGGGTGAGGAACTTGTGTGATAATCCAGGGGAGGATCACAGAAATATTAAGCAGTTATTTGTATTCATTTGTTTTCTGTACCTGAAACACCGCAGTCACCTCTTCCAAAAACCCTACTCAAAATCCAAACAAAAGCATAAACCAGGAAAAAGCAGAGAAAGCCTGAAAAAGTGGGTGGGAAAGTCAGGCTAACCTGGTAGAGAATGACAATACGACAATACCGCATTTCTTGTCAGTGGGAGGCGAGAAAGAAATAGAGCTCATGTCTTGCTTCTCTAAATTATTGGCAATTCTTAGACCTATCTCTGGGCTTTAAAACTCATTCAGCCAATCTGTGGAAAGGGAAGACAGCCACCCTGACAACTCTTAGTGCTAAGCTCCTTCACCATTTTTACCAACTCCTGGACCCTGCAGTGTTTTATTTTGTGATTTTGCAGTTCCAATAGGCTTTCTTGGGGTGAGTGATTAGAATATCTGAAGAGAAGAGGAGGAATTGAAGGTGATTGCCATATAATTATTAGGTGCATTTGCCCTTTTTTCCCTCAAGACACAGATCTATCCCCTTAATACATTGTATGATAACATTATTAATATAATAATATCTTAGGCACATGTTAATCACTGTAACAATCATGTATTTTGCTTCTGCTTCATATTTTAAGCTTAAATGTATCAAGGCAGCCTGTGAAATTGTTAGTTTAAAAAGACCCTAACATCCTTATCATAGTACCTGCAGATGACCTTGACTTCCTCAAAAGCCTCTGAAATGCACGCATGGTATTTTAAGATTCATTATGGACCAGTAATCATGGCTCAACTTCTTCCTTAAATAATTGGCATTCCAGACTCAAGTCTAAACAGAAAACTAGGATGTAAATTGTTCCTTCAACTTCCTGTTGGAAATCACCCGTATGTATGAAAAGTTTTCTCAGCCTATGATGATATCAAAGCTTTCACTGAAAAAGTATTTTTCAGAGGGAATCATAGTAGTATAAAAATATTGTTTATTCCTTTTGAAACATGTAAGTCAGACTTTGAAAAATTTCCTCTTGACCCATACTTCAAACATCCCATAACATCTTTACAGTGTCAAATACGGATTTTATTTTTAATAACTTCCACAATGATAACGTGCATGGTTGAAGTTCAAGGGAAATAAAATAGGAAACTAAAGATTACTAGTTGCAAGATTCCTATAACTAACATCTATTTCAAAGGCTTCAGATATCTGTGGTACAGCTTGCATTTAAATGTTTAAAATTTCAACAGTTCAGCAACATTGCTCTTCAAAGCATGTTTTCATCCGCAATTTTAATAGTAAATTGGCTCAGTTTTAATAGCTTTATCCTGAATTTCAAGACTTCAGACATTTTTTCCACTCTTTCTTTTATTGAGAATATTTGAGGACGTCAGGAAATTTCAGCACTCTCCAGTATATGTGCTTGTAGCATCTTAGATCAGAATGTGGACTCTAGGGCCAGACTGCTTGAGGTTGACTCCCAGCTGGGCCACTCACTCACTTTACATAACTGTGCACAAGTTTCATAACCTCTGTTAGGTATCCTCATTTCCTTATTGTTAAAATGTAGACAATAATAGTACCCATCTTGTAAAATTGTTGTGATGAATAAATGAGTTCATACATGTAAAGAACTCGGAACAATTCTTTGCACATTGTAAGCAAGGAGCAAATACTGCAGGGCGCGGTGGCTCATGCGTGTAATCCTAGCACTCTGGGAGGCCGAGGCAGGCAGATTGTTTGAGCTCTGGAGTTCGAGACCAGCAAAGAGCAAATATTTATTTTTAACATCAATATATATATACACATACAAATATAGGAACCATAAATCCATATTCTTCATTTGAGTTGAATTATTATTCCTCAAATAACCATCATTCGCACAATAAGTTTCCTCAGATGACTACCTGTGTGGCAGAAGAATAGGGACCATGGAGAGTGAAATGTCAGGTTCTTGCTTCCCAAGTAAATGGGAAGGAGAGCACTACACTTTAACACAGGAAATGGAACTACAAAGAAAATCTTTGCAGAGTCCGTAGTGCCAGTCCTTTTATTGTGGGTCAGACAGCACAGCATACATCATCACCTCTTTTGCTGAAGTATCACATGGAGTCAATGTTCAAAAAGGACATGAGAAATGCCACTCTTGGACTCCAGTCTGAGTCCCTGGCACTGGTGGTTCAGGGCTCCCATTAATAATTGCTAATGTACTTTGCAATCCCAACGCACAGTGAAAGAGGATTAACATCTGTTGTGCCAAAAAAAAACATGAACACTAATATTCCTTTTAGTGGCCATCTTTGTTTTACCAGACTTAATTCATTAACTTTTCTTTGTTTATGTAGGGATTTACGACATTTTACATTGTCACCATCAGAAAATGTTGACAAGCCTACAGAACTATGCACTGAAACATTGCTGAGACTGTTCAAAATGTCACTGAGCCCCAAACTCACTATTTCTGAAACATGGTTTTGAAGAAAAATATGCAAATATGTTTCATTTGGGGGACACATTGTCTAAGTAAAGGAGCTTATTCCATTTTTTAATGAAGTTGTAAGAGTCATACATTTTTTTTTTTTTTTTTTTGAGACAGAGTCTCACTGTGTTGCCCGGGCTAGAGTGCCGTGGTGTCAGCCTAGCTCACAGCAACCTCAAACTCCTGGGCTCAAGCAATCCTTCTGCCTCAGCCTCCCGAGTAGCTGGGACTACAGGCATGCGCCACCATGCCCGGCTAATTTTTTCTATATATTTTTAGTTGTCCAATTAATTTCTTTCTATTTTTAGTAGAGATGGGGTCTCGCTCTAGCTCAGGCTGGTTTCAAACTCCTGAGCTCAAACAATCCTCCCGCCTTGGCCTCCCAGAGAGCTAGGATTACAGGCGTGAGCCACCGCACCCAGCCAGAGTCATACTTTTTGAATGGATCAAAAATGAAGAAATACAAACTGTCTTAACTAGGGTATTTTTAAGCTACTAAAAAGACTCAGAAATATATCTATCCATATTTTCAGATTCTATGTTTGATTTTTAATCATTAAGACTAAAAGCAGAGTAGAACATTGATTTTAGGTCTGCCAGTTTATGGAGTTATGGCTATGGAAACTGAGGTATACCTCAGAACTTGAGATTACAGTTGCCTTGTCTGTAAAATAAAAGGGATAATAATAAAGGTATAACTATCATTCAGCATTGTTCAACAAATTATTTGTGAGAATAATGAGATGAGAAATTTGTTGGAATTTTAAGTAGAAAATATTATTTTCTGTTCATATAACATTTGCTTTTATATATTTTGTTCTTTAGGCCAGGACTTCTCAACATCAGTGAGCCTGCCACACAGCCATGGTTGGCAGACACGTGGCCAAACACTGGCAACAATCACAATGACTGCTCCATCAACTGCTGCACGGCAGGCAACGGGAACAGCGACAGCAACCTGACTACCTACAGTCGCCCAGGTTAGGGACACAGAGAGAGCTTGACATGTTCCGTTTATCCATAATAATTAAAAGTAAAAAACTTTTAAAAAAGGAACTAGCCAGAAGGGGATAAGTTTTCTTGTCCTCTTTCTACATGGAAAGAGAAAATTTGATGAACATTTGGATGAAATATTGACATTGTTTAGCAAACTAACCTGATTCAAGTATTTTCTCCATCCTTAAACCTCCATTTCTCACCGTCCACCAAAAAAATTTTCCAGAGAATTAAG